ATGCCTAAAATGGGTTTCTGGTCTTCTCAGATTACTTAAATGGCCATTTCTATTTTTGCAATCTCTATCATATTTCTGCAGACAACCTGTTAGACTGAGAAGATTGTGGATGCTGGGTATGAACGCCTTCAATGTCCACATTCATCTCAGGTCTCATCTGAACCGCTAAGTTCTCCACTTACCCTCTAGTCCCACTTTCTATTGCATCTTCAGGGATCCAACTTCCTTCTCCGTTCTTTCAGTACTTCCAGCCTCCCTCTTAATGGGTCTTCCTTTTCAACACAGTGTGACCATTTTTCTCCTTTTAAAGGGGTGGGGAATGCCCAGCCCGAAGGCTGTATAGGGCTGGTGAAATCAACATCAGCTAACATCACACACCACACCAAAGGACAGCAGTTCCAGCCCTCACATTGGGGGTGAGTTAATTAAATGTTTGGTCAAATATATGGCCTGCGAATGGTGTTATAAATATCCAAGTGGCCCTTGGCAAAAAAAGGCCCCCCACCATTGATCTAAAAGAACCCAAAGTCCATGTCCTTTCTCATTCTTCCAGATTCTACACAACAGGTCACATTCCTTTCAAATAAGGTAGTCAGTCATTTCACATAACATCTTTAAAACCTTCTTTAAGCGCCATCTTTAAATCTACTTTGGCTGTGTGAATCATAACAAATTATGGATAATGCTGTAAAGAATGGGAATAAAAATTTAAAAGAAGAACAGGAATCTCAGCACATTTCATTGTACTCATTTGGAGCCTGTACAGACCACGAGGTAGTTGTTCAAACACCCCAAAGGGGATGCTGCCTGGTTAAAAATAAGAAAAAATACGCATCAGGATCGTATCCTTTCACCATACTTATTCAATCTGTATGCTGAGCAAATAATCCAAGAAGCTAGACCATATGAAGAATGCAGTATCACCATGGAAGATTCATTAACAGCCTGTGATACGCAGATAACACAACCTAGCTGCAGTACGAGAAAGTCTTGAAGAAATCACTGAAGATCAAGGACTTCATCAGAAAACAAACCAACCAACCCCCCCCCAAAAAAAAAAAACCCACACATAAAAATCCTCATAACTGGATTTCAAATAATCAACATCATGAAAAGATGGAGGATACTAATGGTGTCATGGTTTTTATTTTCCTTGAAGATTTCCACTATCTTCACCCATGGAAGCAGAAGTCAAGAAATCAGGTAAGTATCGCATCAGGCAAATCTGCTGCAAAGGCTTCTTTGAAGTGTTGTAAAGCAAAGATGCTATCCCCAGGAGTAAGGCATGGCTCACTCAAGCTACGGTTATCTTCAATTGCCTCATGTACATTCAAAAGCTGGACAATGAATAAGGTCTTTCAACGAAGGCGCTGGTGAAGATTATTGATAAGCAAAAAACCAATCTGAATGCTCCTCAAAAAGCGAGGTCAGTGAGACTTTGTTTGTCTCAGGTGCTTTGGACATGTTTTTAGGAGGGACCAAATCCTGGAGGACATTTTGGAGAGGACCAGTCAGAGAGGGAGATGCTTCAAAGCATGGGATGGCACTGTTTACCACAATGGCCTCTTTCTGAGGCACTTATGGATGGGTTTGTAGCACACACCTTTAGGTTACTAGTTGAATCATTTAACCTTTTGCAACACCCTGGGGCTTCTTTACATCATTTAGGACTTAATCAGTTTTCACGTCAACATCCTTTATTAGTTAGATACTTTATGTGTGAGACTGGTCCTTTATTAGATCCTTTCTGTGTGAGACTGGTGTTATTCAAATGTTTCCTAAATGTCTAGTAGGTGTTAGCAGGGTATTAGGCTTTTGGAGAAACTACCAAGGAGAGAATAAGGCATGGTTCCTGTCCACAAGAATACAGTCTTGAAAAGGGATAACCTTAATCCAACAGGATTAAACACTGTGAGATTAAGTACATATAACAAACAAAAAAGATGTGTGCATTAAATGTCTGTAGCAAGTTGAATCACGTTCAAAATTGTACCTGTCATTTTCCTCTCTTCTGGACTGGTCTGAAGTACGTGCAGTTTTTATTTACCCATTTTCTTCAGTAAGTCAAAAAACCAAACCAATCTCACTGCCATTGAGTTGATGCAAATTCGTAGCAACCCTAAAAGACAGGGAACTGCCCCAAGAGTTTCTGAGACTGTAACTGTTTATGGGCGTACAAAGCTCTGTCTTTCTTTCTTCCTCGGAGCTGCTGGTCGTTTTGAACTGCCAACCTTGCAGATCGCAGTCCAACAGAAAACCATTAGGCCACCAGAGTCCTTTATAGATACAGGAGTATCTATAAAAATAACCGCCGTGCCCTCTGACAGAGGAGGGAGCCCTTTGTTTTGCCTCACTGCTATATTCCCAGAGCATAACTGGGGAAAAAAAGTGCATTCCCTTCATCCTACATGGGATAATTCATTTTCATCCTTCAGCTCCTATTTCAGATGTCTACCCAGAAAGCTTTTCTGTGGGCACCCAAACTAAAGTTTCCCTGCCCCTCACTCCATAGTGTCTAATGCATCTATGTATTTCCTTCAAAGGCCCAATTACCTGTGTAGTGAATGCTGTGTTGTGCGGTATAGACATCCCCACCCCTCTTAAAAAACAAAGGATTTCTTTCCCCACTTGCTCTGAGTGTTGTGGCGGGACTCAGCTATCGGCTTCCTTGAAGGCTGCCTTGACTGGGGGAAAATAAATAAAAATTATGCACTCCTTCGGGTCCAAGGGGCATAAAGGCTTGTCCCTCACTCCATGCTGGGACACCTTTGAGGCACTACTCCAGTTCTAACTTTGTGCACAGGTGATCCAAAAAATGCCTTCCTCAATAAATGTCTTAAGAGCTCCCATGGGGCAGTGATAAAAGTGCTTCAGCTCTCATGGGGCAGTGATAAAAGTGCTCAGCAAAAGGTCGTGGTTCAAATCCATTGGGGCCTAGGTAATCCTACAGTTCACTATGAGTCAGAATTGACTGTACTGCAATCAATGGCTAATAAATGTCCTGTATGCAAATGTCCTTCATCGACTCCCCAGAAAGCCTGGCACAATTTGGTAACATCATTCATTCCTCAATTGTCTTACTGTTTTCACCTCAGACCACACACCACGTAAGCTCCACATACGCAGGAGGCACTCACATCTGGTACCCCATTGTACCTGCTAACTCAGCACGTTGAGGAAGTTAATGAACGAATGGATTACATTGCACCTGGAGAAGGTAGATGTGAAATAAAAGATCACCCCCTATAGCGACAGGGGTGGGATGGTTCCACTGGGGAGGAGGATCACCCTGGCCTCCAGGGACCTCCTCTAACGCGAGAGAATTCTTGACTCACAGAAAGGTCGAGAAGCTCTGTGGGTCCCGTTTTTGCTCTCACAAAAGTGGCTTTATCGGGTATCACGTTCTGGAAGCCAGTTCCAGGTTCGGGGGTGGCCTCTGGCCCGGCGCGTGCCTTGGGGACACTGTGCACCCTCTCAGAGTGACACAGGTATACGAGAGGGACACGGAGGAGTCACAGGGTCGGGCGAGGTGGCGGCGCAGTGCGATCCGTGCTTTGACTGATGGACCTTTTCGTGTACTCCTCCGAGTGCAGATACAAACAGGAACACCTCGTCATCCGTACTCGTTTCTTCAGCAAGTACTTACTGCGTGGCCCGATTTTAAGCCCGCTCTTTCGCCTCCTCGACCCCGCCTCCAAGTACCCTTCAGGGAGGACTCCGGCGACCTTCCGGAAGCGAAGGGGTTGGAGGGCCCAAGTCCCACCTTCCCTTTGCCCCTCTGCCCGGGGAGAAAGCTGGCTTTTCCGCCGGAGGTTTCAGAGCTCTCACCTGCCCATCAACTGCCCCGCCAAGGCGGCCACCGCTCGCAGGTCCCAAACCCTAGCCCTCTGCAGGCGTCCCGCAGATGCCGGTACACCGCGCCGGGCGCTGGCAGGCTGAGCATGCGCAGCTTGGCCGTTGGAATCCAATTCCGCTCAAACTCCGCTCCTCCGGGTTTTCGCCGAAGCTCTTAGGAAACTCAAGCGAGAACACCCGGGCGGGGCAGTGACTCCGTTAACGGAGGGCGGGATTTGTTCGGGGTCAATCTCAGCACATTGCTGAATCTGAGAAATTAAACTAACGTGTCAATCAGCTCGTCAGGACACAAGGACTACCTTCTGGTGCGCAAGCAGTCAGCTAGTGCATAAATGAGAACGTTACGCGGTCGTCAACCGGGATTTCCGCCCTCCCCGGCCTGACCAATCACAAGCCGCCTGACTTCTCGCGTTGCGCCAATGCCCCGCCTTCCTTCGCAGTGGCCTCCAAACCCAGGAGAAAAGAAAAGCTTACGGCTGTCATTTCCCAGAGTGGATCGAGAGCAGACTTGCGCAGTGAGGGCCATTCGAATGGGGGCTTACGGAGACTGGCGTCCTCTACTTCCGTGCCCTTCCCAAATTGGATCATTTCTTCCTATCTCCTCGTCCTGCCGATAGGCCGAGGTGAAGTCTTACTCCCCTCTCTCATTTAAACGGATGACGCAGGAAGTTGTGTTTCCACAGAATTTCTGTTTATGAAGTTAACCAATTTTCTGGCATTGTGAAAGCCAACTAAACCTCCGGTCCGCCTATCTTTTAGGATTATATTCCGTCGTTACTGTTCGTAGCAGTTCGGTGCCAGAAAGCGTTTCCTTCCACAAAAAATGTTGGGCTCATTTATCTTTCTTCCTCTGGATCATGTCAGCCGTTTACAGTACAGTGGGTCACCCAGCCTCATCAGCTGTCGATGGTCCCAAATTTTGAAATACCGAGAGAAGCCCGCGCCGCCATGATTGTTTCGGGCCTACCTGGGACGCCGGGAGGTCGCGAGCGGGGGCCATGTTTCTTTGGGGCAAGTCCCCAGCGCTCCGCGCTGCCTCCGGTTTGCCTCAGCGCCTCTTTCCAGCGTGACGGTGACCTCGAGCGAGATGACGCCGCTGCGTTCATCTTGGGTTCGGGCAGCGGCCGCGCTCCAAGCGCGCGGGCCAGCGCGGGGCAGGGGAGACGAGTAGGAAGCACGAGCATCCAAAGCTCCGGGCTGTTGTCCTGCGAGTCAGCCAGGTGCCACTTGAACAGACGCCAAGGACAGTAACAAAACAATTAAAAGCCCGAACCCAAACCCCGCCACCATCCTAGGTAAGGCCATGGGACTTAAGACCACCTACGGAGTTCTTCACTCCAGTTATGGATGCATCGCCTTCCCGTCCCTCTGAGTTTTGTTGTAATTTGAAATATTGAGCCTTTTCCAAGTTTTCCCCTGCTTCCTTCTCCTTTATTTTCAAAGAGCTAAGACGTTAAATATAAGGGTACTGGAGGCCTAATCTTTATGGAAGTATTGGTTTGGAAAATTCCTTAAAAAGACAAAATTGGTACACCGGATGTGCCAGGTGTGTGTATATCAAAGTATAAGACATTCAGGATATGTGATATAAATACACGTATAGCTCGGGTTTGTATGTATATCCCGTTCATTCAGCCGTTCACCACACTTATCCGAAGGAGCGCTAGGAGTTGGAATCCACTGAGTGGCATTGATTGAAATGCATGCTAGACATTCTTTGGTGGGGCAGTTCTAGAACGTGCTCTTAGGCTAAGGGGACTGTTGGACGGTTGCGTCCTCTGGAGGCACAGAGTAAGAAAAGCCTGGCCATCTGTATTTTAGAAACGAACCACTCCATACCATATGAAATACCAGACCATAAAAACAAACTCATGGTCCTCTAGTGGGTTCCAGCTCCTAGCGTCCCTACATAGCGTTTCAGAGATTGTAAACCTTACCTGGACAGATAGCCTCAACCCTTCACCGGAGGGGCTACTATTGAGTTTGAACCGCTGACTTTTTGGTTAGCTGTCCAATGCTCACCTGCCTATGTGAAGCACCGTGCTACATAATTAACATATATTAGCTGTGTCGGGCACAGTTCTTGTTTAACCCACGTTGCATCGGCATGCATGGGAATCAACTCAATGGTTTCACGTACATCAAGGCAAAGGGATTGAGCAGGACAGGCATTCTGGGAAATGGTTTGGGATTGCTTCCAGGCCACTATAATAAAGCCAATATTGCAATAAAGCAAATACCACAGTAATGCAAGACACAGCTTTTTTATTTTTTGGTTTCTCAGTATGCATAAACATGCTTATACTGTATTGTCCTCTATTAAGTATGTAGTGATATTATGAGCAATACTGTGAGGAGTATCGAAATGTCATACAGAGACATAAAGTCAGTGTGTGCTATTGGGAAAATGATAGACCTACTTGACATGGGGTTGCTATAAACCCTCAGTTTGTGAAAAAAACACTGTGAAGAACAATAAATGAAGTGCAGTAGGAGGTATGCCTGTCAACCTTAAAAATAAAAAAAACACCTTTTAATTGTAACTATCCCCTTGATAGCTAGGGGCAGGTATAGTGTTTCTGGGTCTAAGCTGCTAAAAAAGGAGCTCTGGTGGTGTGGGGTAGGCGCTGCTGGCAACGGCAGGGCCAGCAGTTCAAACCCACCAGCTGCTTTGAGGGAGTAAGGTGATGCTATCAGTTGTTGTAAACTCAGAAACCCAAAGGGATAGTTCTCCTTTGTCTATGAGTTGGAATCTGTTAGAGGACAGTGGGTTGGCTCCCATAAAGATTTCCAGTCTTAGAAACCCAAAGGAGTGGTTCTGGGTCTTATAGGGCCCCTATGAGTTGGAATTTACCTGATGGCAGAGGGTTTGGGTTTAGCACTGTTTAGGACTAGATAAATATTCTGAGCACTATATAAACAAATATTCTGCTTGCTTTTCCCGCCCCCCCTCACCTTCCCCCCCACCCTTGCTCTAGGAATACACTGTGTTGACTTTTCTGTCTTGTGTCACGGACGTAGCTGTAAGGAACCTTGGTGGTACAGTGGATAAGTGCTCGGCTGCTCACAAAGGTTGGGAGTTCCAGCCTACCCACCCAAGCATCTCTCTGAGGACAACAGGTAACAGTTTGCTTTTTAAAATGTTTTAGCCAAGAAAACACTTTTTTTCCATGGCACCCAGAATTGGTAGGCCACTTGGCCAATTTTGTAGCGACCATATAGGGCAGAAGGAGTTGGCATTGACCCTATGGTAGTGAGTCTGGTTATTCAACTTGCTCAGGGCCTTATTACTCAAAGTTGGTCCACAGAATAGAAGCATCGCATCACCTGAGAGCATGTTAAAAAATGCACATTCTCAGCCTCTATCCCAGACCTGCTGGTCAGAATCTACCAAAGTGACTGAGTCCTCTTGTAGCATATAGTTTGGAGAGTGTTGGTTTAGGGCAGGGGTGTTAAACTGGCCGCATGAACCCCACCCCCACCCCCCGAGGTAATTTTTTGTGGCCCATGATGCTCTGAAATAAAATGAAAATAGAAAAAAATTGTTATGAAGAAAATAGTGCTTAGGGAAGATCAAGGCAATAGTGTACACACAATTCCCTCGTTACATTTTATTTCAGAGCATAGTGGGCCACAAAAAATTATCTCGGGGGCCACATGTTGCCCACGGGCCGCCAGTTTGACACCCCTGGTTTAGGGCATGGACTGAGGAGACTACCTTCCTGTTTTCAATCTGTGCCTCGTAACCAGACCTACAATGTATTATCAGCTCATGACTTGTATTAAGTACAGCGGCCCTTTTGCCTGAGTGTCTGTGTGTTTAGTGTACCAGCTTGATGCCAAGGTGCCCAGCTAGCCTTCTAAACACCTGTGTGTCTTCTTGTCATTTCTGTTACTGACTATATTAAAGAGGGAGAGGGTTTTTTTTTTTTCTTTTTTAATTTTAAGGTCTACATGGTAGAAAACAAAACAAACATACTGTTTCCTATCTTCTTTCTACCCTGTGGATTCTCGTAATTTTTGAAAAGGTGAGCTCACATGCCTGCATGAGCACGAGTCAATGTTCCTTTAGAGCAGGGGTCAGCAAATTGTAGCTGGTAAGTCATAGACGGCTCTTTCGGTATGGACGTGTGGCTCTGAAGTAAATTTAAAGGGTATTATTCAGGTAATGGTGATTTCATTTGTTTATAGAAATATATTTGTGGCTCTCAAATTTTTTAATTTTTGTGAGGGACGGGGTTGGCTCTTCCATCTCAAAAGTTTGCTGAGCTTTTAGAAAATCGTGGCCCAGGGTTTACCAAAGCGTTTTGTGCTACCTTGCTTTCTTTTGGGTCTTCCTTCTTTAGAGAAATCTAAGTGGAAGTCAGGAGCCCTCAATCTTGGCTGCACATGAAAATTCCCCGGGGGACTTATAAAAGACATTGTTGACCATCGGCAGCAGAGGCAGAGACGCTGGATGGAATTAAGGAGCCAGGAATGAATTTGAAAGAACAGCAGAGGACTTTTTAATTTTTGTCTTTTCAGCCTGTAGATTGCTTTCCCTCTTTTGGCTTTGTGACTAAGAGAATTGCACCGGGGATGCGATAAATCAGCTTCCCAGTAACTGATCAATCTATCATTTATTTGTTTGGTGTCCTCAGCAAACTGTCTAGTTTTTTTTATTTTTTATTTTTGGTCTCTCCTATGAATTGGAGCAAGAAGACTGAAGATCACGTGTATTTTGGGGTTTTGGTCACATGTGAATACGGGGAATTCTGTCACAAATGTTTTTGTATTTTGTGAATGTGAGGAAGTAGTTTGTAAGGACAATATTTGTTGCTTCTGATTATCACATAGTCTGTCTTACAGTTAGCTACCTGGTGGGCCTGGCTTAGGGCTGCTAATCTCAAGGTAGGCAGTTCAAGCCTACCAGCTACTCCTCGGGAGAAAGATGAGGCTGGCTGCTCCCATAGATTTACACTTTCAGAAAGCCTACATAGGGTGTCTCTGAATTAGAATGGACTCGAAGGCGGCGAATATCTTTTATTAAGGATCCCTGGTGATGCAGTGGCTAAAGCACTAGGCTGAGAAAAAAAAGTTGGCAGTTTGAGTCCACTAGCCAGTTCCTTGTGAGAGTGACCGCAGGCTAGTTTCCTTGAAGTTTACAGCCTTGAAAGCATATGGGACAGTTCTCCCTGGCTTGTGAGATTGCTGTGACTCAGGAACTACTCAATGGCAGCTTTTTTGGGGGTGATATCTTACCCTGTGTGTGACAGTGTGCATAGTAGGTAAGGGAGTGAACGCTAGAGCCAGTCTCCCTAGGTTCAAATCCTATCACCAGTTCATCTGTCTACTAGTTATGTGACCCGAAGCAAATTACTTATCCCCTGTGTGCTTCAGGGCCCTCATTCCTGCAGTGGAATTGAAGTGATGATTAACTGTACCACAAAGTGCCTAGAACGGTACCTGGTGCAAAGTCACAGTTACACGAATGCTAATTATTATCATGTGTTGGATTATCAAGGCTTGATCATATGTACAAATAACCATCAGGAAAGCGATTGTGCAGTTGTATAATTTCTCAATACATGCATTTATTTAGACTGTGGTCTACATACAATGAACCAGGCCATGGAAATTCTTTTTTTTTTTTTTTCTTAGAGTGATCTTTTTATCTGAACAGTTTGAAAAACCAGAAGTCAAACCTGTTACCATGGAGTCAGTTCAGACTTGGCCTTATCGAGGTACAATTGTCATACAGTAAAACTGCACACATTTCAAGAAGAGTGTAAGATTTGACATGTCTCAGCATGTATACTCCGGCCAAGCCATTGCCTCAACCAGGGCAATGGACATGAACATCATCCTCAAAAGTTTCTTCGTTGCTCCTTTGTAATCTCTTCCTTGGGCTGCTCTCTTCAGGCAGCCACCAATCTGCTTTCTGTAGCTGCAGCTAAGCTTGTGTTTCCTAGGTTTTTATCTAAATGGAAGTTTGTTTGTTTAATCGTTCTCATTGTGATGAGCCCTGCCGGTGCCGTGGTTAGTGCTCGGCTGCTACCCCGAACGGGGGCTGGTGGGCTGACACCACCTCGCCTAGAAAACCCGAGGGGACAGTTCTACTCGGTCCCATGAGGTCCCTGTGAGTTGAAGTTGACCTCAGGGCACCCTGAGCTGCGCTGCTATAGAAAGACAAGCTTGTCTGCTCCTAGGAAGAGTTGCAGCCCAGAAACCTTATGTAGGTTTTTTGTGAGTCTGAATTGACTCAGTGGCTGTGCGTTTGGGTTTTTGAGGCATATGTGCATTTCTAGAGTCTTTTCTCCTAAGGAAATCAGTGCCTGCCTGGTAGCTTCATGATATTGGCATTTTGTGCCTGAGTAAATAGGCGCTGGTAACTAAAACTGAACGTGACTTATATCAAACAGTATTATAGACTGTCATTGTTGAAGCATTTGGACATGTGACAGTTCATTTGTACCATTATTTTGATTTTTTTTCCCTCCCTCTAGGTTGAAAATATTGAGTATGTTTGGAAGATTCTTAAAATTTTTAATTTATGCACAATAAAATTCACCTTTGTTGGCTTCATTAATTTTGACCAGTGCACTTAAGTCATATAACAGTGATCTAACTCACTGCCCTCGACTCTGTTCCAACTCACAGAGACCTTATAGGACAGAGTAGAGCTGCCCTTGTGGATTTTTGGAAGAGACTGTAACTTTCATGTAGTAGAAAGCCTCATCCTTCTCCCTCGGAACTCAGCAGCCCAGTTTGTTTTCTCCCATACCACCAGGTGTCCATTGTTACATGTGCGTACAGAGCAGTTCCATCACTCTTCCCAGCTTCCTCCAGCTGCACCTTTGGAGTGACCCACTCCCACCCATCTCCCCTTAGCAACCAGTGATCTCTCTTTTCTCCGTCCTGTGATTTTTGCACAGAAACTATTAGAAAGCAGTAGATACCAGAATGGGACTTGGATTCTGACATGTGCTGTCTGCGTGTACGCTATGCGTTCACAGAAAAGACTGTAGTTCACGGTGAGCACCAACTATATATACCAAGGTCTGGACCGAGTAGTGACATATCTGGTATTCTGGTAGCCTAGTGGATTGCTAACCATTAAAGTCAGTATTTGAATCCACCAAATGCTCCATGGGAGAAAGAAGAGGCCTTCGGTTTCCATCAAGATGTGCTTCCTCAGAAGTCCAAGTTCCGCTCTGTGGCATAGGGCTGTGATGAGCTGGTGTCGCCTTGGTGGCAGTGAGTGAGTCACGCAGGCCCATGAGATGCTAGGGACTCATTTCATAGGCGAGAAAACCTGAGGCATAGAGCAATTAAATAGCCTCTTACGTGAAGAGGCAAGAGTTTCAACCAATTTCTTTGGTTATACTAGAACCCAAGGATGTACCATGGGTTGATATGTCTGTTCTGACCAGGCATTCAATAAAAATAAAAATCAATTACCCCTGTGTAGATCTGGACTCATCATTACCCCAGGTCGATTAAGTAGGACTGCGCTCCTCCGGCTTTTCAAAGGCTAGTTTTTCCGTAGATCACCAGGCCTTTCTTCCAAATGACCTCTAGGTGGCGTCAAACCGCCAACCTTTCACTTAGCAACTCACTGCACCATCCAGGGACTCCTGATAGAAAAAGAGACTGCTTTTTAATGAGTCATTTAAGTAGGGCCTCGTGGGGTTTGTTTTTGTGGGTGCAGCAGGAAGAGGAGGTTCAGATTAAGGGTCAACTCACTGGGTTAAGGGTGTAAAACTCATTGCCACCGAGTCAATTCCAACTCAAAGCAATTACTTGACAAAGTGGAACTAATTTCAGCCAAGGGTTTCAGTATTTGACCCACTTCTAATGATAAAGAAAAGAGGAAAAAGTTTTAACTTTGCTATCATTTGCATTATCTCCTTGTATTGTTGGACGTGTAATAATTTTTCTAGATAAAACTTGAAACTGGAAATTAGAAACTATATGTTTTGTTCCCCCTAGTCTTTTTAATCTGAGGTAGTTGCTTTTGGGTATGACATAGGCCAGAAACACTACAGGGAAGACAAATGTGGATTTCAGAGTGCCTTGGATTTTCCCACAGAGTAATCTGGAAGGTCATGGGCTTTCTTTATTAGACTTTATCTCTGCTT